ATTACTATTTTTTATCCATAATCAAATCATAACAAGGTTTAAACTTAAGATTTTGTGCATGTTATCTCGATCCTCCTTAATAAAATAGTTTTATAAAGTAAAAAAGGAGTGAGGTTTAATATATATATATATATATATATATATATATATATATTTAAAATTTATTTAAAATTTTATTGATGATCTTTTCTAATATATGATTGTTAATTTTCGTAAAAAATTCTTATATTTTCGACAAATATAAATTTGTTGGAAATATTTCATCAGTAATATAACTTTTCTTACGAATTTTATTTCCATCGAAAATATAATTTTTTCGAAAGATTTATATCTGTAAAAAATTACCGATAGATATACCCGTCAGAAATTACCGATGGATATATCTTTCGAAAATTACTGACGGATATATATGTCAGAAATATAAATTTTTCGACAGATTTGTATCCGTCAAAAATTAACGATGGATATATTTGTCTGAAATATAAATTTTTTGACAGATTTGTATTGGTCAAAAATTATCCGTCGATAATATAACTTTCCTACAAATTTTTTTTCCATCAAAAATATAAATTTTTCAACAGATTTGTATGCATCAATAATTTACGGATTTGTATGCATCAACAAATTTTTCGACAGATTTGTATGCATCAATAAACTTTTTGCATGCATTTCTTACTTATATAAATAAACACAATTTACTTATTAATAAAAGGATTATCAATAAAGTGTTGGCGAAGGGGAAGCACATGGGGGTGAGGGTGGGGGTAAGGATGGTGTGGTTTAGGAGGTAAAGGGTGAGAAGTTGGAGAGAAGAAAATATTTTAGGAAAAAATTTTCATTAAAAGTCATGTGAAAAGTCACAACACTCATATTTGGAGTTAAGGGAAATTAATTTAACATCTATTTAACTTTTAAGAGACCTTACGGTAGGTCTAAATTATAAAAGAATATTGAATGCAGTCTTAAAAAAAATACAGTGTATAAGTGTAATTTACTTTTTTTCTTTCTATTTTCATTAAAGAAAACTAATGTTAGCGTGGGTTAAATTTAGATACTCTTTTGAGAACTTGTATTTGATTCCTAACATTAAGTGTGTGTTTGACATTTCTAATTCAAGTAACTATTCAATTTCACATTTAAAATAAAAATAAATAAATAAAAACAACGCCTATGTCAAATGATATGTTTGAATCTACATCTATGATTCACACCCAAGTAGAATCACATTGAGAAATTACTTTTATTACTTTTGTTAAATATAAAGAAAAGAATGTTCATCCACATTTTAAATTTGATTCTAAACACACACTTAACTACATTAACTTATTCACTTCCAAAAGTAATACATACACCAAACACATGGTAAAAATCATAAATTAAAAAGATAATGTTATATATAGGAATAAATTAATTGGATCATAATTATTTATAAAAATTAATTAAATGTATAACTTTATAAAATTTAACATCAATTATTAGTAGTTGATATTATTTCATGTGGACACACAAGAATACATATTTAAAGAATTTACTAGTAGAGACTCAGCGAATAAGATATTATTACTCCATACCAAATTGGCTTAGGTGAACTACCCTGCCCAGCACGTGCTTTGAAAACGTCATGTTTCATATTATCCCAAATCGGAAAACTATAAAACATATTTCTGATATGGTGACCAACGGGTGGGTTTGGTCGGGTTCGGGTGAAAAATGTCCAATCCGTTGTAAACCGGCTTTGAAAAAATGTGACCC